GGTTGTCTGTTTACTTCTGGACCTTCATCTAGCTCCAGATCTTGAGGTTTTGTGTGCGTAGTCGTTTTACATACCTGGCTTATTCTGGATACAGACTGTTGGTTCTCACCTCTCCGGAAGCGGCACTGACTTTGAAAGAAACACTCCTAATTAGTTGCCTGTTAGGACATGCCTGTTGAAAAAAGGGGGGGAAGGGTCTATTCTGTTTTTCCCTTATGACGGGGTTCCAGGACCCACACAGGAAGAACAAATAGGACAAGTTGAAGCATCTGCATGAGCATCAATCAAACAGTAACATTTCATAGCAAAGAAAAGTGTTTCTAAATGCAAATAACAATTTGTAAAAATAATATTTAAAAAAAAAAAGTTATTATAATAAAACATAGAAAAATTATAAGAAACTATAAAAGAAAGTTACTCAGAATTGAGATCGCATGAGGAGCCTAACAAAAAAGAAAGAAAGAATTATACAAATATCATTTAAAGAGGTACGTCTTCTTCTATGTTTCCCTTAGCCCTACCAGATCGCTTATCTGCTTTTACCGGTAATTTCCTAATCTGCCCCTAAACCGATCTACCTAATTTTTGGTACTTTGCGTACTATGTGATAAAAAGCGTCACAAACTAAAAATAACCAACCAATCATGATCAAAACTTGTGGTAAGTTATTACGAATAGCTGCCCACGTGTGTTTGGATTTACTTTGTGTGGTTTAACATGAAAAAATTCTGAAAATTCACAATTAAACGAGTGGCTGATGAACCAAGTACTTTGACAGGAAAGTGAAATAGGTCTAGGCTTGTCAGAGTCCCACAAGTGATCGATACTTTGGTTGATTCAGACTCTGAGGAGTCAGAATTTCATAAAGAATACGTTCCCAGTTGAAGTGACACAGTCAGTGAGAGCTTGAGTGATGAGGAGAATCTTGAAAATTATAGATTTAAAACTAGATCAATAGTAAGAGAAGTGGGCGTGTCTCTCAAACAGCAACATCTGGTGCTCACTTTGTGAAACAAGGCAGATCACACTGGGTAGACTGGCACACAAAGGTGGAAGATTGACGCTAGATGAAAGGTTAGCCTATTTTCGACAATGTCTCCAAGATTAATCTTATTTTAACCATTTGTTTGCATGTAACTAATATTTTTGTATATCATGCTGGTTTTTTTTCATGTTAATGACCAGGAGCTCAGGTATAGGGGGCAGTTAGGTTCAGGGCCTCAGGTCCGGTAGGGTTAAAAGAGTGGTTGATATGTTGCATTTTCAGCTGTCTGTGATATATGCACTGTTTGGCCCAACATATAAAATCATTAATTAGTCGCATTTAATGTACAGACAGACTTGCAAAAAATGGAACAAAGGAGAAACAACGCACCCATTCACTGTCATTACCAGAAATCAAAACACTCATCAAGGAAAAATACAAGGAATTATGGAGAGAACAATCCACAAGACCCCATCAACAGACAACAGGAAACAATTTTCCGTCTACGAAACAGGACACTGCTGGCTCAACTACTACACGCATAAAATAAAGACAACAGTCCTCACAGTATGTCTGTCAGACAGGACCACAAACACCTGAGCACATTCTGCAGACCTGCCCACTCTACCTACAACTTTGAAAAGAAACCTGGTCTCAGGAGAAAAGTGTGTAGAGCAAGCTATGGGGCACCATGAAGGACATGCAAGTTTAAAGAGGCAATGCACCTGGTGGTCTGACCTGAGCATATGAAACCGAACACAATGAAGACGTAATGTAAGCAAGGAGTGGAGTTCACTTACTTTAATGTAAGCAAGGAGAGGAGTTTATTTACATTAATGTAATCAAAGAGGGGAATTCACTTACTTTAATGTATTCAAAAAGAGGAGTTAACTCATTTAAAAATAAGCAAGGAGGAGAGTTTACTTAATTTAATATAAGCAGGGAGGGGAGTTTACTTACTTTAATGTATGCAAGGAGAGAAGTTTCCTTGCTTTAATATAAGCAAGGAGAGGAGTTTATTTACTTTAATGCATGCAAGAGGAGGAGTTGACTCATTTAAACATAAGCAAGGAGGGGAGTTTACTTACTTTAATATAATCAAGGAGGGGAGTTACTTTAATATAATCAAGGAGGGGAGTTTACTTACTTTAATGTATGCAAGGAGGGGAGTTTACTTACTTTAATATAAGCAAGAAGAGGAGTTTCCTTACTTTAATATAAGTAAGGAGGGGAGTTTACTTACTTTAATATAATCAAGGAGGAGAGTTTACTTTCTTTAATATAATCAAGGAGGGGAGTTTACTTACTTTAATGTATGCAAGGAGCAGAGTTTACTTACTTTAATGTATGCAAGGAGGGAAGTTTACTTACTTTAATGTATGCAAAGAGGGGAGTTTACTTACTTTAATGTATGCAAGGAGGGAAGTTTACTTACTTTAATGTATGCAAAGAGGGGAGTTTATTTACTTTAATGCACGCAAGGATTGGAGTTATGGACCTCACTGTAATGTTTTCTGAGATGCATCAACGAATTAAGTTGTCCACATTTTGAGGCGTATTCAGCCAATGATGCCACCCCCATATTGTAACAGACCAGTGGTCAGCAAGATATACATAATAATCTAGTTATCTCTTTGTGAGATGTAATTTTTCGTTATTTGAAGCCCCACTCTGGCTCTTGCCAGGGGCCGCAATATAGCCCGGCCATAAATATGGTCTAATGGCTGAACGCGGTTTCTGGGACCTCTCCACGGGTGACCCTGGTGGCCCTTTGTGTCATCGGGTGTTTATCGCTTGTGTGATGTCCTGGTGGGGTAAAAGAAGATAGATAGATCAGCAAGCTGCCATTTTTAACATGCTTGTTAAAAAGTGCTGGTTCTGTTTTTGTTTTATATCCTCCCCCACCCCCCTCAACCCAAAATAGGGCCTTGGAGCCCCAATGGGGGGGGGGGGGGGGGGGGACAGGTACAAAAATGGAACCTGTAGTAATGAAAGAATAAAATTGTATGCCCTTACAGTGTTGGTAAAAATAAACAAACAAAACTAAATGTTAATAAAATAGCTGTAAACATAATCTGAAGTTTCTGAGCGTATATTTCCGCACTGAGAACTCAGCAACAAAAAATAATTAAAAAAAAAAAACCTTGTAGATTACACCAACAAGACAAAATTATCATGCATGAAGAGAATTTCTAATGGACAAGTCACAGGTCGTAAAGCACAGCAGAAACATCCAGTTAAACCATGATGTTGTTTGAAACTTCCGTCTCTTTCCAAGGCTTGAAACAGATGCTGAAATATCTGGGTCACTTCTGCAGATCATTGTCTGACTTGTCACACTGCCCATTTACAGTCTGGAATTATGCATAGTCCAATAAAGTTCTCATTTCTTTACTGACCAACAAGAAGAATATTCTGCAGGCCCATTTCTGAGTAATTTCTTTAATGAACGCCATCACAAAATAATTCACTTCCGCAGAACCACTTCTGACTTGCTACGTTACTGAAAATATCCGTAGTCCACTGGCGCAGTGAACAATCATGTTGTTGGATTATCTATAACCCCAAACAGTTCCCATTTCTTTAATGAGCACCAGGAAATAAATTATTTCTGCAGATCCATTTTCTGACATTATATTCTTGATTTACGTTATAGGAATTATCTATTGTCCAACAAACTTTTCCTTTTCTTTGATCAGAACTAAGAAGAATAATCTGCAGATCCATTTCTGAGTTGCTACACTGCCTATTTACATTACTAGAATTATCTATCTCATTTCTCTAATAAACACGATAAAGAATATTTCACCTGTGTGGATCCATTTCTGACTTGTTGAAGTGCACAATCATACTGTCAGAATATCTATAACCCAAAACAGTTCTCATTTCTTTAATGAGCACCATGAAATAGATTATTTCTGCAGATCATCTTCTGACTTATTTTATTTCTAATTTAAGTTATAGAAATAATCTATAGTCTGAACAAAAACAAATCTTCTCATTTATCTAACCAGAACCCAGAAGAACATTCTGCAGATCCATTTTTGACTTATTACTCCAGCTGTTATTGCTGCTAGAAATATTTATAGTCCAACAACTTCTTATTTCTTCTAATCAGCACTATAAAGAACATTCTGCAGATCCATTTTTGACTTATTACTTTAGCTGTTAATGCTGCTGGAAATGTTTATAGTCCAACAACTAATTATTTCCTCTAATCAGCACTATAAAGAATACTCTGCAGATCCATTTTTGACTTGTCCACTACTGGGATTATCTAAAGTCCTAAACACTTTTCATTCCTCGAATGAGCACAATAAAGTTTTGCAGATAATTTTCCTGTGCTACATTGCTGATTTTGAGTTCTAAAATTATATATTTTTGTAATAAAGTTCTCATGTCTTTTATCAGTACGATGAAGAATACTTAAATTCTGCATATCCATCTCAGACTTTTTACATTGCGGATTTCCATTTCTGACATTATATATTTTCCGATAAGTTCTAATTTTTCTTATCGGCACCATGAAGAATATTTAAATTCTGCAAGTCAATTTCTGACTGTTACACTGCCGATTTACATTGCTGGAATTATCTAATGTCCAATAAACTTCTCATTTCTTCAATGAGAACCTTGGAAAATAATTTACTTAGGCAGAGTAATTTTTGTTACTTCTTGCGGTGCCCATTTATGATGCCGAAGTTATCTAAAATCCAACATATGTCTTACTTCTTTATCTAGCACCACGGCTTCCATGTTCCGCTGTCCACATACAATCAAAATAAGATGAAATGTACACACATACATGTATATGTATAAGTCCATGTAGACGTATGTACAAGAAAAGTTTCCAAAACCCAGAGGTTTATCACAAGAAAGCAAATATACGTGTCAAGTAACACACTAAAGCATGGTCTATGCTGAAATGACTTGTAAGCAAGTTCAACAATTGTTTGTGGCTGCTGTGGTGTTTGTGTTGCGCTTGTTCTTTTGCTAGCTTGGGCCCTTTTTTTTTTTAGTCTGAAGGATGTTCTGGACAAGACCGGTTGACTTCGAACCATTTGTCAATACATCTGAAATATATAATTCGAATCAATGTTTCTCTCTGTTGTGAAAAAAAAAAAAAAAGCAGACACACTCTACAGGATTACAGAAATCACAAAAATACAATCATAACCTATGGGACAACACCAATCATAACCTATGGGACAACACCAATCATAACCTATGGGACAACACCAATCATAAATCCTCAAGCTCAAAATGGGCACCAGTTTAAGTCAAGAGGATCAACCTCCCTGTATCCGTTTTTTTGGGACATGGCTTGGTTTCTCTCTCCACCCGCCAACAGTGTTGCACAAAGCACCAACATTGCAGCTCTGTTGACAATCCAGAGGAGGTTTTGACAAAATGTGCATTCATAAACCAAACAAGGCAACCACGAAACAAACCCATGCGAGGTGACCGGCTTGACCATTTCAAAACACACCCTGGGCATCAGAAAATCTTCTGGGAAGTAAAAGCAAACAGTATGCTACAGACCACATAACCCATTAACTCAGTGAGTCCTAGACAGAAAACTTTAACTCACTGTATCAAAAGTAGCTGTTACTTTAACATTACTTTAACTCACCGCATAAGAAAAAAGTTATTACTTTAAAGAACAAATGTTCAGCTCTGAAAGAATTAAAAATAACACCAAGAGGCAGAAGAGTTAAATTAACAAGTGACGGAGAGTGGGTTAATATATAACAACAGTAGGGGGCAGATGAAGTTAAGACAGACAGGCAAATGACTTGTTAAAACAAGGAACAAAGCTGAACAAATTCAAGATTGGGGAGTCAGACCTTTGTCCATGTGGACAGGCAGTATGGAATACTAAACATGTGGGCTGCAGACATGCTTTCTACATGTAGTAGGGAGATATCAGGACAGGGTAGTGGGGAGATCTCAGGCCAGGGTAGTGGGGAGATCTCAGGCCAGGGTAGTAGGGAGATCTCAGGCCAGGGTAGTGGGGGAGATCTCAGGCTAGGGTAGGGAGATCTCAGGCCAGGGTAGTGGGGAGATCTCAGGCCAGGGTAGTAGGGAGATCTCAGGCCAGGGTAGTGGGGAGATCTCAGGCCCAGGGTAGTGGGGGAGATCTCAGGCAGGGTAGTGGGGAGATCTCAGGCCAGGACAGTTATCATTCCAGTGGAGACCAAGCTTAATGGACCAGGACCAGTGCAGGACATGTACCATGGGATAATGAAGAAATATATATTTACATACACACACCCATATATACATATATACATATGTGTACATGTATGTATGTGTCGTATGGAGCGAAAACATGGATAACAACTAAGACAAGACATGGATAACTAAGGCAATTGCTAATAAAACTGCCCATGCAGAATATAAGTAAATAAAGGGTATGATAGAATCACGAATGTACAACTTTGAGAGGCAATTATACAAGTTCCAGTGGACCAAGAGGTGAAGAAAACACGCTGGCATTGAAAAAGACAGAAGTTTAGAGAACCTGACCTTAAGGCAGACCTAAAAACACACAGAGAAGGGAGCTAGAGAGAGAAGTTAAAAAAGATGGCCAGGACATGGGGTAAGCTGCATGCAACAGCGAAGGATAGAGTGACCTGGCGTGATAGAAGGGGGGTAGAAGGCAGAAAATTAATATATATATACACACACACAAACACACCCTTATGACATATGTATAACCCTTATGATATATGCATGATGCTTAGTTTATGACATACATCACCCCCCCCCCCCCCACCACGATAAAACATATCCCTTATGATTTATAAATAACCCTCATGTCACACACACACACATATTCATACCCCTCATGATATATACACACCCTTTATGATATATACACAACCCTCATGATATGTGTGTGTGTATGTACACACACCGATATAATATCTTCAAACCCCATATGATATATACATACCCTTTATGATATATACAAAGGCAGGGTAATCTGGCAATCGTGTCTCCCTGAATAAGCTCCTCAAAGCAGATGACACATTCACCTTTGTCTTCTGATAGTACATCCTCTGTTATGAGATCAAACATGGCTGGTGATGGTAACTGTATCATCAAGTGAGGCAGTGAGGTATGGGATGAGCAAAAGACAGAAAATGGGTGTCTTCTGATGGTGGTTGCAGAGGTGGAACTTGTAACAAACTCAGGCCCAGCTCCACCTACCTACACACTTGTGATTCATGGACACTGTGATTGACTGGACATTTATTCATGTGTGTTAACCTTTGAGATGTGTAAGTTTAAGTGGCAGGGATGTCAGGTTGGTGCCATGTACTGTCTCAACGGTTTAATCGCTAAGACTTGCAGTTTAAAATTTCAGCAAACACGCTGTTTTTAAATCTGCTAATATAGTTTACAAATACAGCTGACACTTGTGTGAGGCATACATATGATTTACAATTACAGCTAACACACTGTTTTTGATCTGCTAATATAGTTTACAACTACAGCTGAGGGAGCAAGATGTCATCTACAGGAGATAATGCACCAGAAATATCATTTAGAATAGCACTGGCATCTAGTGCCTTCAATAAACTGTCTAACATCTGGAAATCAAAGACACTTAGCAAACACACAAAACTCAAGATCTTCAATTCTTGTGTGATTCCAGTACTAACCTATGGATGCAAGAGTTGGAAATCAACGAAAACTCTAGACACAAAATTAGAGTTTTGAAAATAAATGCCTTAGAAGAATACTAAATTTCAAATGGTCAGATTTCCGAACCAATACACAAATAAGGCAAGAATCCAGGCAAGAGTATGTGTCTAATTTTATACGAAAACGCCGCTGGAACTATGTCGGCCACGTCCTTAGAATGGATAAATCAAGACTTCCTTACCAAGCCCTCATTTGGACACCACAGGGGAAAAGATCTCGTGGAAGACCAAGGGAAACCCTACGTAGAACTATCATCAGGGAACGCTCGCTCATGGGCCACTCAAACATCCAAGACCTACAACGGATTGCAACGGACCGCCGTGCATGGAGAGTCACGACCTCTGCCCTATGTGCCGCACTCGACACAAGAGGAAAGACTAAACTAAAACTAAACTAAACAGCTGACTCACTTGTTTTGTGATGCATACATATGATTTACAATTACAGCTAACACACTGTTTTTGATCTGCTAATATGGTTTACAACTACAGCTGACTCACTTGTTTTGTGAGGCATACATATGATTTACAATTACAGCTAACACCAGTTTTTATGAGGTATATATACAGTTTACGATGTCAACAATGGATCTGTTGTTCCACATGTGTAAAGGTTAGACAGCTATGATTCTGTCATGGCCACAAGTAGTCTATGAAGACTATGGAGGTGATGACGGTAACACAAGGAAAGTTGTGGCTACAGATAAAAAAAGAAAGACAGGATGGGTTCGAAGACAATGGCTGGAGTCTCTGTGGAAGTAACACCTGACAGGAATCAGTTTCATTTTTGTGCCAGGACACTAGGGTAAAAGGGAATGAATGAGCGGACTGGCTTGCTGGCAGACCCAGGGTAGGCACAGAGAAAGCAATGGACCAGGTCGATGTTCTCAGTGCTCACAAGGAGACAGGATGTTGAATGTTGAATTAAGAATCAACATCACAGCACTTGGGACACCCCCCCACAAGCGCTCCATCTCCATCTTCAGCAGCAAGCGAAGAGTTAAAATGTCAATGGTACCAGTAACTGTCTGACTGTATATCTATCTCGCCTATTCCCCTCAGTGTTGAGCATCGGCCAGATCTCCTGTAACTCCTTTGCTAATCTCCTCAGACCATAATGATCTAACTGTGCCTCGGCACTGTTCACTCGCTCCCAAAGGGCCCTCACAACATTTAGCTTCTCATACATCAGGTCACCACCAAGTGGTGCAGAACTGGCCAGTCTATCCGCCTGCTCATTTCCCAACACACTGGCATGACCTGGAGAAAATATCCAAAGGATGCTAACTACCCGGGACCTTTAAAGTAATGCTCGCCACTCTGCATGGAGCATGCCTGTCTCCACCTTTCTCAACATGCTCTGTGAAAGTTACGATGACGGCATGTCTACAGCTGATTCTCAAGCCATCGGAAGGCAGCAGTGATTGCCTCCACCTCCATTCTCAAACTAGACGTGATATCATATGCCAGACTTTGTTGCACCAATCGACGTCCATTTGCCTTCGCTATGAACCCCCATGCACTTCGTCTGCCCCTCAACACAGAACCATCTGTATAGACAATCACATCGCCTGGGCCTGAATTTTCCTGAATCATTTGTTGAAATTCTGAGTCTACAGCACCAGTCCAAGGAGGCAGGATGAGTAGATGATTTAGAATGATGAACTGCATTTCTAATGTCGGACTGTTTGTGTTAGCACTTCGGATGGCTACCGTATGCTTTAATGCGTGTGTATGCTAGATATGCTGAGACAGCAGTCTGTCAATCTTTCCACAAGGGACTGTGATAAACATTCTGAGTGTTTTTTGTTGGCACAGGAGCGGAGCAAAGATGGGGCGACCCGTTTGCTATGAAGCTGAAACTAAGACTACCAGACGATTTAGGAGGCAACAATGAATCGCTATCACTGACAAGGCTACAAGAATTTCATGTCAAAAGAGGTGTTGCCAGATATGAACACTATACAGGCCGCCAAAAAAAGAAGAGTAAACCAATACAGAGCTGGTCTTATCAGTCGACACATGCTGAGAGATATACTGAAATACTGAAGATGGGATCCAAGCATTTATGGACTGCATATATGTATAGACCAAATAGTATTCAGTGAGTGACAGGGTCAAAATTATGGTGGCCTCCTTTACTTTCCAAAACATTTCCTTGTATCAATTCTTCAGCTGGATCAACCTGGGACCAAGGTAAATTGTGAAAACTCAGGCTTGACTGAGATTTGAACCTGTGATCACACAGTCGGCAGACAAATTTACTAATGACTGCAGCTCCCTCAGCATACATACAGTTTCATCCACAGCTAATAAATGGTTGTGTGAGACATAGAATTTACCATTGTAGCTGATACGTGGCTTTGTGAGACACATGACCAGGTGGCATTCTATGTCATCGGATGCTATCTGTTTGGAGCACACCGGACACTTGATTCCTGAGAAGAAAACAAAAAACACTTTCATATCCTAGCTGACACACATCATATCCTAGCTGACACACATCATATCCTAGCGGACACACATCATATCCTAGCGGACACACATCATATCATAGCTGACACACATCATATCATAGCTGACACACATCATATCATAGCTGACACACATCATATCCTGGCTGACACACACCATATCCTAGCTGACACATATCATTTCCTAGCTGACACATATCATTTCCTAGCTGACACACATCATATCATAGCTGACACACATCATATCATAGCTGACACACATCATATCATAGCTGACACACATCATATCCTAGCTGACACACATCATATCCTAGCTGACACACAACATATCCTAGCTGACACACATCATATCCTAGCTGACACATATCATATCATAGCTGACACACATCATATCATAACTGACACACATAGCATCCTAACTGACACACAACACATCCTAGCTGACACATATCATATCATAGCGGACACACAACACATCCTAGCTGACACACATCATATCCTAGCTGACACACATCATATCCTAGCTGACACACATCATATTATAGCTGACACACACCGTATCATAGCTGACACACACCATATCATAGCTGACACACATCATATCATAGCTGACACACATAATATCATAGCTGACACACATAATATCATAGCTGACACACATCATATCATAGCTGACACATATCATATCATATAGCTGACACATATCATATCATAGCTGACACATATCATATCATAGCTGACACATATCATATCATAGCTGACACATATCATATCATAGTTGACACACATCATATCACAGCTGACACACATCATATCATAGCTGACACACATCACATCATAGCTGATACACATATCATAGCTGATACACATCATATCATAGCTGACACACATCATATCATCGCTCAGAGTGGAGATCCAGGATAGTTAACATCCATTGGATATTTGCTCCAGGTTATTCAAGTGTGTTGGAAAACGAACAGGCAGACAGATTAGCTGGTTCTCCACCATTAGGTGGTAAACTGATGCATGACAAGCTAGATGTGATCACGGCCATATCGGAAGGGACTGAACCATGTGGAAGCACACAAATCGAGGTCGGAGAGGTCGGAAGAGAATGCTGCAGCGGGGAGTAATCAGGGAGTTTGAACAGTGAGCTCACAGACGAAATGCCAGACAGCCATACAATCCGAATACTACTTGTTAAAAAAAACTTCTGAGAACACATTCAACAGGAATGAATAATCAACAAGAATTACTACTGCAATTAAATGTAATTCCCAGGCAAATTACAACAAGAAATTTACATTCTAATGATAATTTCACAATAGCAAAGATTCTTTCAAAAAAGAATCTGATCCCAGAAGTCCGGAAGCACAGTTACTCTAACCCGCATTTTCTTGATCTCCTGACATTTATCCTCCCATTGAAGTACAGAATTTGAATCAACCTAATTACACTCCTCCCCCCTTACTTTTGGAAAGGGCAGGAAAAGATCTCTGGAACAAGCCGTTCTGTTTGTTTAGTAAAAAGTAATTGTCAGTGTCACTGATATTTCTGCAGTCTATCTTCTGCATGGTTGATCACTGATTCTGCTACCGTTGTATCTGTCTGTATTCCTCTCACCTGCGGACTTCCACAATTTGCATTCTAACAAGAATTCATTCAAAACACGGATGATCAACGTGAACACAACCCACTTCTTTCAGGACAGAAATTAGCCGGTTCTTTAAAACCACTAGATACACCTCAAAGGGCACCCTGCAACTGTGCAGTTAAAAGCAGATTTAAATCTCTTGATTACTTCCCTTGTCTCATTTTAACCAGAGATTTGATTTCATTCTCAGCATCATGTGGGTTCCAGTAACCCAGTCTGGGAGATGGGTGGTCAGACCCACTGCTCATTAATATGCAGGCCAGAAAAGTTAGTTAGTTAGTTGCGTATCCTTTACAGGACGTTGCAGAGCCAACCCCAAAAGCCCCTGACTGTTGTGTGGTTTTTCTAAGCAAATTTACGTCCAGTAGTTTGCCGTTGCTTACTGGACGGTCGGCTTCTCGATACCACTGTCGAAACCAACGGAAGGCGCACGACCCGCAGCTGGGATCGAACCCGGTAACCCGGAGCGTTCGTATCGACTTAGCCACAGAGCCGACATCATAAAAGTAAAGAAACCTTTTCCAAAGTCTTCAGGCGTACCGGGCATATCGTGCGAGTACTGTATTTTATAGGTCAATCGGCACTTGGTGGGCGATGACGGGTCAGCACCACGCCGGGCGCCTTTACTTCCTAGGACTTTACCTGGTACCAATTCAACACTGGATCACTCTGGGTGCCAAAGTTATTTTGAATTTAAAAAAAAAGCCCGGTATCTATTTGGATTCGAACTACGACTTTCTGATCTGTAGGCGAGCTGTCCAGCCACTACATCATGACCGCTTCCCATGGCATGAAAGGCGACTAGTTAAAGGATTTCTGAATAGGACATGTTGGGTCGGAAGGTTCAGATACTGCAGCCAACTGTAAGGCATAACACAGAGTGCCCAATGGCCTTTTAAGAGCAAATGCGGGAGGAGAAGGTGGTTTGGTTTGTTGTTGTTGTTGTTGCAAGCGGCGCACTAACTTCCCAAGCATTTGGTTTACAGCCTCCCATATGTTTCCATAAAAAAGGAAAAAGAGAAGAAAAAGGAACACTTATCTCAAGGGCAGTCAATGCTATGGAACTCATTTTTTTTCAGCAAGCAAAAATGTATCAATTTATGAAAGAAAGGGCGGGGAGGTGTGTGTGATGTGTGTGACATAGCCAGTGAGACATATACAACGACATAGAGAGACAATTATAAAGGCATTCACAAAGTCGGCTCGATCCACTAGTTGACTCTTCATACTTAGCAGCTCTAGCGAGCCAGTCCGCTCTTTGACTGCCGACGCTACGCTCTCATTAATACATTAGTTTAACACAGAGCAAAAACATCGGTGAGAGGTGACCAACTGACTGGCCGGTAGACGACTTCGTCGCCGTGTAGGGACTGTATTTGGGTCTGTCTCCTGTGATCGCATCAACACTGCAAGAGTTCTTTTCAGCACTACTTGGTGGCGAGCAATGCATTTAATATGCATGGCGCACAAAACCTAGTCACAATTTTAACCTGAAGCTCAACCTTCGGGAATGCTGATTCAACATGGCAATTTTGTTGTTGTTGAGCAAAGCAACGGAACGGAACAGAACAACAACAAAATCCTGTTTGCCCCGCTGAAGCTGCTACCCTTGAACCTCATCATTTCGAGAACACTTGCACTGTCTGCTCGTGACAACAATCATGATTAAGTGCGCATGTCAAGCATAACGACTTGGACTGACCGCGGCAAGACAAATTAGCAGCCGAGCGACAACTCGAGGAAATATTAATCTCTAATATGCAAACATGGGGGCAAATCAATAGTGGAAAGTGTAAGGCAGAAATCAATGCCCGCATGTATGTGTCAGTTTGCTGACCTACGACCCGCAGCCGTCCAGCTGAGAAAACATTCACACACTTCGCTGGTAGGCTAGTAGAACTTACACACCTATGTGATGGAATATTCCAGGCATCATCCTGCACTGAAGATATGGCCTTCCGTGAGCACATCACGGCAACGTGTTTTACAATACACACATGTACACTATGCGTACAATAGATACAATTACAGAACTGTAATTCCCTGGTAGTTAGACATGATATTCTTTGGAGAGAAAGAAAAAGGACAACGTGATGGCAAATATTTAAATTCGTGATGTGGTAAACCTCTCACCGGCCACCTTTACTTCCCAGAATAAACTGGGGTACAAAGCAGGATCTGCAACATACCGCAGACGTTGTCCAGAAGACACACAATTTATTAAAGAACGCTGAATGAATTATAAACTTAACTGAAGAACATACGAAATCGTTCGGTCATCTGACAAAATGCAGGGTCCCTGAACGACGTTCTTCAGCTGGACCTTCCTTAGCTAGTTTATCAGCTCTTTCATTCAAGTAAATATAAAAACACAACAAACGAAATGACCAGCCAACTTTAATAGTGGTTACGAACTGGACACCCATTCTGTCCCAAGCACTGTCCCACAGAAGAGCAGGCCAACTGGAGGGACAGGGAAGCTGGACACCCATTCTGTCCCAAGCACTGTCCCACAGAAGAGCAGGCCAACTGGAGGGACAGGGAAGCTGGACACCCATTCTGTCCCAAGCACTGTCCCACAGAAGAGCAGGCCAAATGGAGGGACAGGGAAAGCTGGACACCCATCTGTCCCAAGCACTGTCCCACAGAAGAGCAGGCCAACTGGAGGGACAGGGAAGCTGGACAACCCATTCTGTCCCAAGCACTGTCCCACAGAAGAGCAGGCAACTGGAGGGACAGGTAAGCTGGACACCCATTCTGTCCCAAGCACTGTCCCACAGAAGAGCAGGCCAACTGGAGGGACAGGGAAGCTGGACACCCATTCTGTCCCAAGCACTGTCCCACAGAAGAGCAGGCCAATGGAGGGACAGGAAAGCTGGACACCCATTCTGTCCCAAGCACTGTCCCACAGAAGAGCAGGCCAACTGGAGGGACAGGGAAGCTGGACACCCATTCTGTCCCAAGCACTGTCCCACAGAAGAGCAGGCTAACTGGAGGGACAGGGAAGCTGGACACCCATTCTGTCCCAAGCACTGTCCCACAGAAGAGCAGGCCAACTGGAGGGACAGGGAAGCTGGACACCCATTCTGTCCCAAGCACTGTCCCACAGAAGAGCAGGCCAACTGGAGGGACAGGGAAACTGGGACACCCATTCTGTCCCAAGCACTGTAAAAACCCCACAGAAGAGCAGGCCAACTGGAGGGGACAGGGAAGCTGGACACCCATTCTGTCCCAAGCACTGTCCCACAGAAGAGCAGGCCAACTGGAGGGACAGGGAAACCCATCAGGGTGGAAGTGTGAAATATAGATT